AGAGCGCTACTTCCTGCTAGTAGTTGACGACTACACGCGCTACACCACGGTCTTCCCCTTGTGCACCAAGGGAGAGGTCCTTGTTGTCTTGATCCCTTAGATCCGCGCTACTCGTCTCCAGGTGGAGAGGCGCTTTCGCACGGACCTTCCCGTCCTGCGACTGCACTCTGACAGAGGTGGTGAGTTTTCCTCCGGCCTCTTGGAGGCCTTCTGTCAAGGGGAGGGCATTGAGCAGACGCTCACGCTTCCGGCCTCTCCTCAGCAGAATGGGGTTGCTGAGTGCCGCATTGGCTTGGTCATGGAGGTCGCTCGGACCTCCTTGATCCATGCGGCTGCCCCCCATTTTCTGTGGCCGTTTGCGGTCCGATACGCCGCGCATCAGCTCAACCTCTGGCCCCGTGTCTCCGTTGCGGAGACCTCGCCGACACTGCGTTGGACGGGAGCGGTTGGCGATGCGTCTGTGTTCCGTGTCTGGGGATCTCGTGCCTTTCTCCGCGATACGTCCGCGGACAAGCTCTCCTCCCATGCCATTCCTTGTGTCTTCCTGGGCTTTGTCCCTGACGCGCCTGGCTGGTAGTTTTACCACCCCACCTCGCGTCGTGTCTTCCCCTCTCAGGACGTCACGTTTGACGAATCGGTCCCCTTTTACCGTCTCTTCCCCTACCGCACTACCCCGCTCCCCCCTCCGCCGCTCTTCCTCACGCTAGGTGCTGCTTCGGTAGACCCCTTGCCTCCCCAGGGTCCTGCTCCCTCAGGTGTTTCCAAGGTAGACCCGGTCGAGCCTGTCGAGGTAGCTGTCGACTCTGGTCCTGCGTGAGGTACTGAGCGTGCTGAGCCTGAGCGTGCTGAGCCTGCGCGTGCTGAGCCTGGTGGTGCTGGGCCTGGGGGTGCGGAGACTGGGGGTGCTGAGCCTGGGGGTGCGAAGACTGGGGGTGCTGAGCCTGGGGGTGCGGAGACTGCGGGTGCTGAGCCTGGGGGTGCTGAGACTGGGGGTGTTGTCCCTGGGGGTGCTGAGTCTGGAGGTCCTGAGCCTGGGGGTGCTGCACCTAGGGGCGTTCTCTCTTCCCAGCAGCTGCGTGAGTGGTACTCTCGGTACTGTCGCCGCCGCCATGGTGCTGTGGGAGCTGGAGCTGAGGGCGCTGAGCCTACTGGAGTTGATGTTGCTGCTGACCCTCGGGTTGGCGCTGGAGGTGCTGGAGCCACTGGTCCTCGAGGTGCTCGTACTGGCGGTACTGGAGCTGCTGGGACTGGGGGTGCTACTGGAGCTGCTGGAGCTGGTCCTACTGGAGGTGCTGCTGGTGCTGCTAGAGGTACTAGAGCTGCTGGAGCTGCTGGTGGTGCTGCTGGTATTGGGGCTGGTGCTGCTGGAGGTACTGGTGCTGCTGGAGGTGCTGCTAGTGCTGGTCCTGCTGGAGGTGCTGCTGGTGCTGCTGGAGGTACTGGAGCTGCTGCTGGTGCTGAGCGAGTTGGAGCTGCTGCTGGAGGTTCTGGTGCTGTCTCTGCTGGTTCTAGGGGCACTTCACGGCCACAGCCGTACTTCGTTCCCCTCCTTCAGCAGGTTCTTGGTCAGCCGCCTCCTCCTTGTCCTACTCCCTCCTTAGAGTGTCCTCCGCGTGTCCAGTCGCTGTCACAGCTACCGCCTGCCTCGCCACTCCCTGGTCCTTCTCCCTACACTGGTCCGACAGGCAGTCTTACGGAGCGTTGTGAGCCTGAGTCTCGTCTTGTGTCGTCTGAGTCTCGGTCTGCGTCACCTGTTCGTGCTGCTCGCACTGGTCGTCGTGTCGTACGTCAGCGTCCTCCTGCTGTCCCAGGCACTCACCAGATGGCGCTTCGTCCTTCCACTGCTCCACAGCGTGTACCGCTGCCTTCTCCTCCTGCGTCCTCTCTTCCTGCCCTTGCTGACCCGGAGTCTGACTCTCTTCGTGCTGCTAGTCCTACTGTCACGCGTCTCCTGGCCACTACTGTCACTGACCCTTCCTTTGAGTCAGCTGCTGCGTCTGCCTTAGTTGCTGAGCTTGTCGACTTTGCTGCTCACTGTCGTCTAGACTACGCTGCGGGTCTTGTTGCTGAGTCTGAGTCTGAGTCTGTCTGTCCTCCGTCCGTCGGGGGTGAGTGTGCTCTTGGCACGGACGTCCTTGAGGATAGGCAGGAGGAGTATGAGTGCTTTGCCGCCGCTGTACCTCATCTCGCGTCCATGCTGATTACACCTGAGGGAGACCCGGATGCACCAGACATCCCGACCCCGCGCTCTTACGCTGAGGCGATCGCGGGTGAGTACTCCTCTAAGTGGCAGTCAGCCATGGACGCAGAGATGGCATCCTGGAAGTCCACTGGCACTTACGTCGACGAGGTTCCCCCTCCTGGGGCGAACATCGTCAGTGGCATGTGGATTTTCAGGGTGAAGCGGCCGCCAGGTTCTCCGCCTGTCTTCAAGGCTCGTTACGTTGCTCGAGGCTTCAGTCAGCGAGAGGGAGTAGACTTCTTCAAGACCTTCTCCCCCACCCCGAAGATGACCACTCTTTGGGTGCTACTGCACGTTGCCGCTCAGCGTGACTACGAGCTTCACTCTCTTGACTTTAGCACAGCTTTCTTGCAGGGCAGCCTGCACGAGGAGATCCGGCTGCGCCGTCCTCCTGGCTTCACTGGGTCGTTCCCTCCTGGTACCCTGTGGAGCCTCCGGTGGCCGGTCTACGGTCTCCGCCAGGCACCACGTGAGTGGCACGACACACTGATGACTACACTTGCGGCTCTTGGGTTCGCGCCTTCTACTGCTGACCTGTCGCTGTTTCTGCGCACCGACACTTTGCTGCCGCCGTTCTACATCCTCGTGTACGTCAACGACTTGGTCTTTGCCACTGCTGACACTGAGGCTCTCGCCCTGGTGAAGTCAGAGCTGCAGAAGAGACACACGTGCACAGACCTGGGTGAACTGCGCAGCTACCTTGGCTTGCAGATCACCTGGGACAGAGCACGCCGCACCATCACACTAACTCAGTCACACATGGTGCAGTAGGTCCTTCAGCGCTTCGGCTTCACGTGGTCCTTGGCACAGGCCACTCCTCTGGCTACAGGTCACTCGCTCTCAGCTCCACCTTCGGACGAGTCCGTAGAGCCGAGTGGTCCTTACCCAGAGCTATGGCTGTCTCATGTACCAGATGACTTGCACTCGTCCTGACCTCGCGTACCCTCTTGGCCTTCTGGCTCGCTACGTGGCTCCTGGTCGGCACCGAAAGGTGCACATGGATGCTGCTAAGAGGGTACTGCACTACTTGTGCAGTACATCAGGCATGGGACTCGTGCTTGGAGGGAGGAGCTCAGTTGTCCTCACTGGGCACTCAGACGCTTCTTGGGTTTGACGACCAGGCTACGCAGCGGTCGTCACAGGATTACACCTTCAGCCTTGGCTCTGGTTCAGTTTCTTGGCGTTCTACACGTTCATCTTGAGTTCTCAGCTCCAGTTGTGAGGCTGAGATCTACGCCACAGCCATGGCTGCACAGGAGTTACGCTGGCTCACCTACCTGCTGACTGACTTGGGAGAGCGGCCTCGTTCTCCTCCAGTGTTGTACGTCGACAACAAGGCTACCATTGCCTTGTGTGAGGAGCACAGACTGGAGCACAGAACGAAGCACATCGCTCTGCGTTAATTTCTGGCTCGAGAGTTGCAGCAGCGTGGTCAGCTTCGTCTACGTTACGTGGCCACTCGGGCCAACACTGCTGATATATTCACCAAGGCACTTCAGTCTGGTGATCATCAGCGTTTCTGCACTATGCTAGGGCTTGTGCCCACTTTTCCTCACTTGCTGTAGGCTTTGCTTGTACTGTGATCTTTATATATATACATATACATATACATATATATATATATACCTGCATGCTTGCTTTGCTAGGGAGAGATCACTGTGCTGTTTGTGTTGCATATATGCCTCTGCATGTGGACTGGCCTTGTGGCCCTTTGCTTGTGCTCAGAGTGTCTGGTGACGTTGTGATCCACCCTGAGCTTGCTTTGCCTTTCTTGACTGATCTTGTGAGCCCTTGCTCTTCCCCACTTTGCCTATGGGGGTGTGTCAAATGTTATGTCTACTACAGTTTGTTTAGGCTGTAGTTGGGTAGTTACTATGGGGTACAGTAAGTTTAGGGTTTCCTACTTGTACCCAACTCTTTCCTACTGCAATCACTCTTGTTCATTCTGACACGTAATCCCCCGGATAAAAGACCCCCCTATAATAATGTACCCGGGTCTTTAATACGGGGGGGGGGGGGTATTATTCAAGATTGTTTTCCTTATACCCCCCAATTGGGGTGAAATCATTATAAGACCCCCCCACAACCATAAAAGGGTTTTTTTTGGGCTAATTCATGTCAATTAAGCAAGCAGTGGCACATGTTCGGCCACAAGAGTCACAAAATACAATCAAGGCAGCCTCTCAACACC